CGCTTTGAACCAGTGCTCTTCGAGAGGAAAGATGGCTACCAGGTGAAAACAGAAGAACAGACAGAAAACTCTTTTTTCCATTTAATTCTGACACAGCTTCCAGTCTTTAAATCTAAGACCATTTTAAGTCATCACTGATGCATAGCCATGACGTCATATATATTTTACCAGGTTTTTTGATAAAATTGGAGTGATGCTGAGCAAACTAAATATAATTCACTGTGTTTCTCCATTTATCATTTAGTAGCAAAGCCTCAGTGGTGCCAAAGAAAGAGTGGAGTTGATGTTTAAAACTTTGATAGTCTTTGATAATCAACTTAATCCTGTCTGAGCTGCTGATTAGGTAATAGTTAGTCAATCTGCAACATTTTGTGTTACCACTAATTGAAAAGGCTATGAGTCATTCTCTTCCCTCAATTCTGTTGTTATATCTCAGATTGCATACTTTCGTGTTTACACTTGCTACTTTCAGCATGTTTACATTAACAAGCATAGCTACATGCAGGGAAATACCACCACCATGGTAATGTGTTCATAACAGTCAAGAAGTTATGTTTTCACTCTCAATAGTTGGCATGTGTTGACGTGTTGTTGGGTGTTAACGTGTGTTTCCATGCTGTCTGCAAAGTAGAAGCTAGATATTTGGTCAAAGGCTTGACAACATATGTGACAAAGCACAAAGCACGTAAAAATGCAGACCGAGAATCCCAACTGTGCACAGAAACAACCAAGAGATGATGCAATCCAGAACAGCCAGACTTCATCAGCCAGAACGCATCTGAAATTTAGCATTACACAGATTTTAAAATCAGCAAAAGTAAAATTCTATCACCCCTAATTGTACATTACATAACATATGTATTGTTTTGCTCCTGGGAGAGAACAAAAGTCACTTTAGGATTGGATCTTGAAAGGCATCGGCATACAAAAATATGCCAAATCAAACATGCAGGTGAATAAGGAAGCACTCAGAAGTAGCGTCTTCTATTCAGCAATAAACATTCTTCAACTAAACATCAGCAGGGTTGTATTGTCTTTTTGAGTCTTTTGAGCATTTAACTAAAAGTCACTGTTCTATGCTTTTTTCCAGGTGGATTACTCATTTTTCCATCGGACCTATGAAATCCCAAACACCCCTTCCTGCAGTGCTAAAGATCTGGCCGAGCAGAAGTACATTCAGAGTTCACAGTCGTCATTCTGTTATGAGAACGAAGTAGCTCTGCAGCTTGCCTCCCCCGACAGTGAGCTGGGTCAAAACCTTGAGTTTGCCTCCCCACCGACCCGGAGGCAATCCCTGGCAGAACATCTCCACTACAACTGAACGGAAGGGAAAAAGACAGGAAACCGACTTCAGAGAACAAACTGATATGATGATGGGAGACAGAATAGTAGAGAGAGCCTTGAATAAACCAGTGTACAATAAAGGATAGGAAGAAACACTATTTACAGAAGAGGAAGAAATATTTAGTGCGAACATTAGGAAGTTTGGTGTTACTCTTTTGGTGAGTTGGGTTTAGTACACTGACCTAGTTGTCTAATTGGTCCTGGCAATCTTTCAAAATCATTGAAAACTGCTAAGTCTCACATCTGGCCCATCACTACCACAGCACACAACTGACTCTAATACCTGACTGACAAGGGTATGCAACAGCGCCCCATGGTGGCTACCACATGCAATTGACCCTCAATTTTTATGATGGGAAGATTTTGACCTCTGTTGGAGGTAATGTTTTAGCTTCTGAGGAATGTATTCCACTAAGATGCTCACTTATCACTTTTGTTCTTTTATTTTCTTATGGTAAGTATGGATTATGCACTTTTTGGCATCAGGGACTGAGAATGTATTTGAGATAAGCCAAAGCAGAGCAACAGTAACATGGAGCAACAGCTTTAAACTAGCAGCGGTTTTGAGATGTTTGTTCCATGTAGATGTATTTTCTCTGTGTTGTTTGTTTTTTGGCTTTTTTCCATGTGTGATGCAAAGAAAAAGATGTTCACTGATTGTAAACTTTTATGATTTTAACATTTTGTGTTGAGTGGAATAGCATGATTGTAGAGTCTCAGACCACACAGGTGATCCAGATGTGATGATCGCCATGCATTGTTTTATGGCGCTACTATCAAAGTATGCTGTTATCTCTTATGTCTGTAAAAGCAGCCTCGCTATTGTTTTGGTGTGCTATTTTTGCATTATTGTACACTTTAACTGAGCTATAATACTGTAATCTTTTACGTGTTGGTGGTGCAGACTGAATAGTGAATATAAGGCAATAGCATTGGAGACCTACACTCACATCCAGCATCTTTCCATTTCTACAATTCTGCAAGAAGTGGATGAAGATCCAACTGGAAACTACATCAGACTCACAGAAAATTAAATCTGGGTTGTTGGGGGTTTTTTGGCTCATAAAATCATGTAATTTCCTTAGGTGGTAGGTGGTGCCTTCATAACAGAGCAGACATTTTGCAAATGTCCCTTCATCTGCATGATGTTGAAAATGTGCTTGAATTGTATTTTTTTATCATGTGCATTTGCAAGATGACCACTTTTAGTGTGCAGTATGTGCTAAGATGAAAAAAACTGAGCAATCCCCATATAAACGTGCCGTGATGAATGAATCTTTTACCCGTAATATACTGTAGGCTATGTAATAGTTGCACTTTCTAGATATATTACAAAGCACCTGAGATATTTCTGTTTATTTTAACATTAATAATTAAGAGTAAATAATGCCACCTCAGTATGTAAGTGTTTGATTGCAGCATGTGTTGGCAAAGTGTGGGGGCGGCAATGCCGTGTTGAGTGTTGACCAGTAATCAGCCTGTCCGACGCACAACCTGGAAACTTGTTGTTTGCACTTTGCACTAATTATGGAGACTAATATCACTGATGAAACTTTACAAAAGCACAGTAGTGTTGCAGGAACAGCACAGGCTAACTTCAGTGCATCAATCGCAGTGTTCTGACTGATAACATATTATCTCTTATAAATAGTGTTAATGCTGTTCCATGTCTGTCTTCCCTTTCACTTCTCTATTATGGCTACCATTTTCTATTTATAGGCTGCACAGGAGGTCATGTCATTTTCTCCCTGCATCCACTTCCATGAAATGTAACTTGAACTTACAGCACCATCACTTTACTATGATGGGACTTTTTAAACACAGCAGAAAGAAATAGACGGATTGATTTGGATTCACTGTTCACAGTACAGTACATTTTATACATAGTGTAAAGCACAGAGTAGTATAATGTAATACCTCTTTTTTAAAAAAGAATTAGTAAGATGAAATTGACAAAAGCTACTGTTCTAGGATTTGGGGGGGTTTTCTGAGGAGAATTTTTTTTTTTTGCTCCAGCAGACACTAGATATATAATTTCAGAGCTGCCTCAGGCACAAAGCACTTCCAGAAAAAAGAGAACTGTGTTATAGAAGAAATAAAACATGGGGATTCAATTGTGATTATTGGGTGTGTCCTTATTTATACTACTTGCACTCTCTGTACTTCACCCAGTTAGCCTATATATGTTTTAAAAGGACATTCCACTGCAGCAATTTTACATGAATATCTTCCTTGTGTTGTACTTTCAGTGATTATTTCAACCAATTACAGAAAATGTAACTAAACAGTTAGTGAGTTATTTATAAAGGGGGAAAAAAACCTTTATGATATAAGTGAAACTGTAGTAATCAAGTGTAACTTGATTAATATGTCTACCCCTTATTTTCTTATCAAAATTCAAATATTAAATGAAAATTATATCACTGCTGATGAATCAGATGTAGAAACACAGCCTGCAAAAAGAATTGTGTTCTGACTAAAAGGACACAGAGCAGGTGTGGCACGGGTGATAAATGTAACCAAGTCAACCAAATATGATTTTTTTTTAGGGAGTATAAACAAGGGTTTGATGCAAATCATTAATTCACTGCTGTTCAGCTTGTTTCCTTTTTTTTTTTTCTTTTATTGAGCAAGCAGCACGGTGGCACAGTGGTTAGCGCTGTTGCCTCACAGCAAGAAGGTCCTGAGTTTGACTTCAGTATTTGGCTGCTGACTTTCTGTGTGTCTCTGTGGATTGTCTCTGGGTGCTCTGGCTTCCCCCCAAAGTCCACAGACATACAATTAGTGGAACTGGATTAACAGGTGATTCTAAATTACCCATAGGTGTAAACCCACCCCACCCAATGAACAAATGGGTGGGGTAAAAAAACAAACAAAAAAAAACATGCCAAGTTGAACAGAAAAAGAAAGTTTTCCTGCTTATGCTATGGTAATTCCTCTTGGGGCATTCTCTAAAGGTTCTCAGGAATTTTGTGACATGTAGGTCTGTATTAGAGAATAGAATAGAATAATCCTTTAATTATACCACAAGGGGAAATTTGGTTGTATCAGCAGCCAAAACACACTTATACAAACAGAACAGGACAGAGAATAGAAGCACAATTTTTACATATTTACATCATGGACAATAGTTACCAAAGCAGAGTACTGTACAGTATAGTATTATTGTTACAGTCACAAATATAAGGACTAGACTCTCTATTATTTTACTTTATTTTATTTTATTGCCAAATTTAATATTATTTAATATATGCGTTACGTTTTGCGTGGAAACAAATATATAATTTTAAAGCAGAAGTTGAGATTTCATAGTTTCTCGCTATTACTCTGATATGATTGGTGTAAATATTTACTTATTTACTAACCGTGCTACTCTTGGAAATTTGGGGTGATCTGAATCAGGCACCTTGAATCAGATCTTTCCAAGAAACCCTGCATTGAGCTTAAAGGTGAAGTCAAACGAATCCGATCCCAGATCAGCGTCTGCAGACACTCGCTGCCAGTCAGTGGTAAACAAAGAGCGCGCAAATCCCCCTACTGTAGCGCGAGAGCGCCGCACGGCACCTGCTCCAGCGCTCCGATTTGCCGTTTGCCATGTCATTCAGAGGAAGCCCCGCCTCACGGCAGTTAGCATTGGTTAAAGGCGGAGACGTCTGCGCTGCTGTTGTCTCGATTCGTCAGTGCGAGTGCTTTATGACCGTTTTAGGGCGGAAAGCTCCCGTCGTATTCAAGAGGCGGGTCTACGGCTCGGTTCTAGATTATGATTGGACTCGTTTCTCTCTAGACCTGTCTAAAACCCGTCTGCTCGTACTTGGTTGGTCCGCTAGCAGGAAGTCCTTCTCCGTGGCTGAAGCCGCCGAGTTGCCCTCAGTGCTCTCTGTCTAGTTTATTCTCACTGAGGAGTGTGTGTTGCTCCACTGTGAGAGCAATGCAATGATAAAAGCCGCATATGCGGTACGCTACACACCTATCAGGCAGGAAAATAACCCAAGAAACACCCTCATCCCGGTTCCCCTCACGCCGCAGCCTTATCCACACCTCAAAGCGGAACCTGAAGGTAAGACATTTAATTGCCTTTACTCTAATCCAACTCGTAAATAGCCAGTGTAATATCCTCAACGTATCATTTTTTTAGTGGAGCTGGCTAACCTCGTATGGTTAGTCTAAATGCGGTGGCTTAACGCCTAAATGTGAAACAGCAGAGGGGCTGGGGGCATTTAATTTAGGGTTGGTCTTTGTGCTAAAAGAGCCTTTCATCGAAATGACCTGAAGTCTGGCCAAGAAAAGCAATTATTCGACCTTATTTTTAACATTCCGACCCATATTACCATAATCTGTTGGTCCATTGGGATTTATGTGTGATAGTAATAATGGTAATGATGGTGGTATTATTATTATTATTGTTATTAATAATAATGATGATAGAAAAAAGGCTGTTTTTGTGGCTGCCACATGCATGCCGTTCACAGTCATTTAAAGGCTGGGGCCCATATGGTTTGTCATGTCTTACGTTCAAGGTGTGGTTGTCTTCGTCAGGTTTTTTTTTTCCATTTGAGCTGAAGCTACGGTTTGAAAATGCAGGTTAGTTCACAGAGCTCCAGCTTCGCAGCTGGACTGCTCCTGCAGGCGCCGCACTGCAATTATTACAGCCTGTGGGTTTTTTTGTTTGTTTTTTTAAATAATAATGTCACCTTTTCCTCAACGTGTCCGCTTTAAGTGCGCAGATGACACGGTATCGTCCCCGATGCTGTGTGCCACTTGGCATCAAAGCTGAAGAAAAGGCGTTTCCAGCTCCCCCACCCGTCACGCGCAAGCACCCACACAGTAATTACACGCGCACACACATACAGAGAAAAGAGGACCCCCGCAGTGAATGACCTCAGTTCAAACTCACAAGGTATTGTCTAAGGGCTGCTGCTCAGTGTTCAGGGTGTTGCTATGGAGGAGAGCAGTCGAGGTTTGGCAACTCCAGCTGCTGCAGGACGAGTTTGCTGCTTTAGTCCACGATGTACTGCGACATCCTGGGATACGACCGCCTGTGCAAGGAGTTTGCTCCAAGTTAATCGGTGGCATCGATGATGTTCAGCAGCATCGTGCACTACAGTTACAGAGCTGACAATGCAAAGACCTGACTGATGATAGGGCTGATTGAAGAATAGCCTGTGGAAACAGGTTACATCTCATGCATTTTCTCTTCCTAGAGACATAATTCATATGTCAGTTTGTTTTTTCTAAGCCCAAAACTAACAATACATTCTGACTGCTAATAAGTTTTACCCCGACTCTGATAGAGCACATTTCTTTGTGGCATTTAGAGGTATTAAATGCATATTAGTCAGCCACATGATTCACTGACATGACATGTTTCTACATTACTTCATCAGTGCTGGCTGCAGTAAACCCATGTACCTTCTCTTCTCCTGGAAATAGTCTGTATATAGTCCCAGGCAAATAAAGTGTTTGTTGTTATATTTATTTAAAACTACATTACTCAGAAATATGAGAAAGTAGTAAGAAATTGACTTGGGGCTGAGTGGCACATGTGGGAAGTTTGAACTTAATAACAGTTGCACAGCTGTTTTATGTCACCCTGGGATCACATATTTTCCATACTGACTGTCTGGGTGGTGGCGACTCTTTTGTCAGCATGTTTACTCCACACCCACAGTTGTATTAAGGTTACAGGTATGGTAATGACAGGGCTGGGGACAGACGGGCCAAAAAAAGTGAGATGAATAGCAAGAATCAAGCTCGATGACATACCTGTTAAAGCATGGAGGATAGGCCTAAAGCTAACACACTCACCCTATAAGACGGCACAAAAGCCTGTCTGGTCAGACTTGACTTGTTCAAAGGTAATCCCTTGTGCTTGTTTCAGAGGAACTTGTGTTAGCTCATTCCTTCATAAAACTGAATTCTGTTAATTTCAATGACCTCACACAAAAAAAATCACCTGCATACTCACCATTCAGGCCATCAGATGCCACAGATTTATATTAACATGACACTAATAGCTGAAGCTGGGATGCTAGAAAGATTAATCAAAAGGTTAATGTTATTTTAGGGAATCTAATTATCTGTTAACTAACAGATAATAAAACCATCTTGCTATCATTGGTACAGTAAGTAGGTCCCAGGTTCAAATCCTGGCCCTTCTTGTCCAGTTAACAGGTTTTTCCTTTGCTTACAATGATTTTCTCTGGGAAATCCAGTTTCTCCCGTTATCAAAAAACCTGCTTGGTTAATGCTTCCTGTCTCAACCCAGATTAAGATTCTCTTTTGCAAGAAGGTCTTAATCTCAAGAGTTTCGCTTCCTGGTTCAATAGAAGATATGGAAAGTCTTAAAACACCTCTTGGCCTTTATTTGGGTAGATTAAAAAAAAAAACATTATCTAAACCAACTTAAATATCAGTATCACGAGGACAAAAATGAAATGTGTGCATAGAATCACCAGGCAAATCTGCAAAAAAGTATAAATTTGCCCTGAAAATAAGGCGTTATAACAAATTTGCTTTACACATGAAACATCTGCAGTTTAAGACCAGGAGGAGACTGAAACCCAGTCCTGAGGGTTACAAGCTCCTGCATTCCCAGTTCTATTCCCAGGCCTAGATAAATGGGAGGGTTGTATCAGGAAGGATATCCAGCATAACATCTGCGCTAAATCAAAAAGCCTGGATAACCATCTGCTGTGGTGACCCCTTGGCATTAGGGGAGCCACCTAAAGCACCTATACCTTACTCCACTCCGAGCATCTCTGCTGTTGCCATAGATTTCAGTTCAGCATACTCTGAGCGCATTTTTGACATTTCAGGGTTTTTTCTAGATTCATTTTTTTGTTCTGTTAAAAGTCAGAAAGTATCATAATGTAATAATTTATAATAATGTACATTATCACATCAGCAGGTCACAATATCAACTCAAAATGTCTTCACTTTACTTTCAGAGATTCAGAGAGATTAAAATAGCATCAAATATTCATTTTTGTTTTACTGATTGTTTCTCATTAAGTGATGAATAAAATAAATAAAGCAGTGGTAACATCTGCCACACCTGCAACCGGGCTTTTCTGGTTGGCTTTATTGCCCCTCCTAGTATATTTCTTAGTTGTCTGAGTAACTGAATCATTATGTTGTAGTACTGCAGTGATCCTGGCTATAGTTTGCCTTCATGTGTTAGATTGGCTGCCACTTTTAGACTGTCACCTCGTCTTCCACAGGACCCCAGCCCCTAAGGCGGATCAGCATTTTAGCAGCACTGTGTCCAAGTCCTCAGTGAGAGGGCCTCTACAGTTTTATCTCTGCTGAGTCCAGTGGGCTCTAGTGCTTCATCTATTTCAAGTTAACAATAGATCCAGTCCATTTTGATCTCCTCTTCTTACTGCTTTCCCACCCTTTTCCCTTCCCATCCTTCCCCCTCTTCACTGTCATGTCAGTTTACTCAGTGGATTGATGTATCTCGCTGTTCCTCCACCCCTCCAGCTCTCCACCCAGCCATCTCTCTGTCTTTCTTTCATTCCTGTCTTCTCCTTGATTTGCTGTGTCTTTCAATTAGGCCATCGCTGGCCAAAACTTGGCTGGATATGGCTTGCGTGCTACTATTGCTCTTCCTATATATGTGGGTGCGTGGTTGGTTGCACATCAAGTGTGAGATGTCTTGGCACAGAATCACATTAGTATCACAGTACGACAGTCCTTTATATCCTCTGCAGAGCTCCGGTTTGTAGGCCTGTGGCAAGAAGTGGCTCAACAGGGAATGACTTTTTGTTGCGCCCTTTTTTCATGTCTAATTCTCTCCTTACCTAGTGCCAGAAGTACCATGTCCAGGCCAACGGGGGGCGGTGCCAACGATGTCACCCGCTTCCTGTCATCGGGCACAGCGCCAGGGTCTCCCAACTCCAACAACTCTATGTTCTCTGCTGCCAGCCAGGCTGACTGGGCAGCTAAGAGGCTGGTGTGGGTGCCGTCAGAGAAACAAGGCTTCGAGGTGAGCTACCATGACATGCGGTGCACGAGCACAAACATTTCACCTGCAGGATGTTAACACAATAGACAAGTTTCACTTGTTTTCTCATTCCTTCCTTCCACTGTCTGAGTTTGTTAATCCCCTGGTGAATTATTGGCCCTGAGTGTGTGCCCTTAGTTAAAGGTGTGTCAGACAGGTCAGGCACAGACATGGGCTGTGTGTGTGTGTGTGTGTGTCACAATTTTTATGTTTGAGGAGGTTTTTGTTACTATAGCAGTGCTCTATTTTTTCATCTTGTTGGATTATTTACTTTTGATTTGTGATGGTTACTTACATATGTAACTATGTAAGGTCTAAGTCATCAGCAGCGATTACCTCTACCTCTATTACCTCTAAGCATGCACGTCAGCTTGATAAGACCTCAGAGGGTTAAGTGTAGTTAGTATCACAGGCACAGTCTTACAATTTTATATTTTTGATTACGTTATTTGCTTTTGTCATTTAAATAGTTTTACTTCCACTTAGTTTCCAGTTGTGATTTGCTCATTTCAGTTTGGCCTTTAGTCTTTAAAAATATTTAGTTTCATTTTCTTTACAATTTAAATGTGGGTGTATCCATCATGGACAAGTTTTCACAAGCTCAGAAAAGATATTGCAGTAAAAAGAAAAAAACTTGATGTCATTTAGACATTCCAGTAAAAAGAACAAACAAAAGCGTCACCATGCTTGTTGTGCTGAAACATTTAACCACATTGATCTGTACTAAAACTAAGCACATGTCTCAGTTCAGAATTTATCTTTATTTCATTTATCTAAAATGTTTTTCACACCTCATTTGGTTAACTGTAACAGCCTTGATCATGAGGCCCTCATGTTATTTGTCTCACTTCACCTTGCTACTTGTCTAATGCTCATGACAAGTTTGCAGTGTGCATGTTGAAGGAAGTGACATAAGAATTTGAAGTTTTGTCTCACAGCCTCTCTCTGTCTCTGCTGGACTCGTTTCATAAAAAAGCTCTATGAATAGAACAATACGCTCCTTCAGCCTCCCAATGTTAAAGAGGCCTTTGCAGAGACACTGACTTCATTTTACAATCATGATCAAACACACACACACACACACACACACACACACACAGAGAAAGGCATGCACACTGTCATCTAGTTTCATATTCTTAGCTGGTAGTTCAGTGTGACTAACATTCACCCACATGAATGCAAACACACACAAACACACACACATTTTGCGTGTTGTGCATATCAAGTAGTGGAGAGAATAAAATGCAGCAGAGCAGGGTCCTGCAACATGGTCAGAGCTTGAGATCAGTACTTGCTGTCCAACAAGCACGAGATCAGCAGCGTGACAAAGGAGGTCATCTCTGTCCTCATCTGTCATCGTCTATTCTCGTCATGCTGTCAAATGTAATGACACTCATGCTCCAAACCACACTTGGTCCCATTCTGACAAACATTTATTTTAAATATAGTTATAATGTTTGCTGTATTTTAAATTTGGGTAGGAGTTTTTTTTCTTCTGAGGTGTAGTAAATGTGTGCATTCATTTTGGCAGTTTTCTTTAGCAAACTTCAAGTTATGTGAATGAAGTTCAACCTGATGTGCAGGCATAACTTTCTGTTCTCCTCTAAGCTGAATAGAACTATACAGCTTAATATGCTTGATACAGGAAACTGTTTAACAGTTTGTTTGTTTTTTAAGTCAAAGATACATTTATTATAAGTGTCATCTGTTTGGAAAGCTGTCTGCTTTCCGAACCAGAGTCTGCCAAGTAGCATCTTCATAGCATCGTTGTGATCCAACAAACAGTCTGCCCAAAAATCTTTTTATTAAACAAGTGTCATTTTGTTCTCAGTTACAAGGTGAAAACTCCTCAATGTTTTTTCTATTAAATCCAGTCTGCCAGCATCCGAGAGGAGCGCGGCGATGAGGTGGAGGTGGAGCTGACAGACAGCCAGCGGCGGGTGACCTTGTCCAGGGAGGAGGTCCAGCGTATGAACCCTCCGCGCTTCAGCAAAGTGGAGGACATGGCCGACCTCACCTGCCTCAATGAAGCGTCGGTGCTGCACAACCTGAGAGAGAGATACTACTCTGGCCTGATCTATGTGAGTGCACCAACGACAGCTCACACTGTACACACACATGCATGAGCAAGAGGAAGCAGTCGCTGGACACGTGAAGTCCTGGATGTTGTGTACATGTGAAGTGCGGTGGGATCTCTTGTGTAAGCTGATATGCATCGGTAAGAGATGCATTTCAGCTTGTGTGGAGTCAGTTTACGAAGTTGTTGTGTGGGTGTGGGGCAGCTATGGGGACATCTCCAGTTTCTGCTGAAAAAAAAGGGGGGGTGCAGATGTAAGATGTCAGTGAAGTGGCATTTAAAGTGAAATAACATAAAGAAAATTGACTCTATTAAATGCAGAGCTTCCTGTTAATGTATAAATAATGTCTGTGTAAATAATGGAGAATGCTAAATAAGAGGTGGAAAGTCAGGAACGCAGAGAGATTGTTGGAATAGCTTTGAAGGGTGTATCATACTATTAGATAAGATAAGATAAGATAAAACTTTATTAATCCCTCGGGTGGGTTCCTCTGGGAAATTTGTTTTCCAAAAAGCACAGCACCGACAGAAGTTACAGAGTTAAGAATATTATATATATATATATATCTACACACACATATATAAATACAAGACATATATAGATAAAATATACAAAGGGGATAAATAGAATAAATAGGAATAAAAATAAAAATAAAAATAAAAATACAAGTGAATTGCACATTTCAAGTATGGAGTCTATTGCACCGCTGATTATTAACAAAAAGTATTGCACAAAAGGTAATTGCACAGTGAAGAGAAGAGGCACTACAGCTTAGCTATTGGATAAGATAGGTGTGGGGGGCTTTCATGACTTTCATTTATGCAGCAATCATCATGGGAGCTTTATTGGTGTTGACACACTGTGTGTCATTACTGACTGTGTTTACAAGAGGTGCAATTTTCCTTTGAATTTTTAAAATCAATCCTTCTGTGCACAATCCTGTGCATTAATATGTAATCCGGGATGCTCTATACAATCTTGGCAGCACTGTTGCCTCCCTTCTGTGCTTTCTGCTAAAGCAACAGTTTAATGAGATCGTGATACTGCAGATTTTACACAGGCCGCCCACAGAACATGTAATTTTTGTCGGTCTACTGCAGTCTGGCCTAAATTACTTGTATTAAGTGCGTCAGAGGTCAGAAAAGTTGCAGATTTTGAAAAACAGTCATTAAACTCACTATCTTCTACATAAAGTTGTATTTTTGAATTATAGAGTATAAAGAATAGGACTATGAGAGGGTAAGACAGTTATATTCTGCTGGGATTGACATCCCCCACGTAAAATTAGGTCAGTGTGAATCTCTCTGTTCTGTGTGTGTTTTCTTCTAGACATATTCAGGGCTTTTCTGTGTGGTGGTGAACCCATACAAGAACCTGCCAATCTACACAGAGTCCATTGTGGAAATGTACCGAGGCAAGAAACGCCACGAGATGCCCCCTCACATCTACGCCATATCAGAGGCTGCTTATCGCAGCATGCTGCAAGGTACTTAGCACTGTCTGTGACCTCTAACCCTTAGTTAACTCTGACCCTGTACATGTTCCGTGATCTGTGATCACTAAGCCACATTGTGAATACTGTTTCAAGGTGTGGTATATTCCTGGCTGTTATCAAAAGCCTGAAAAGTTAAAACAAATATACGGGATGGTATTTTTACAACTGAGATTTCCAAGAGTGGCACTCCTTTTAACGAACAGTCAATCCAGTGATATAACTTTGTATTCGTTGTGGTTAACCGCATAACTTTACATGTAATAGCAATTACTGACAGATACTCTTCATGCCCTCCCCGCCTTTCATGTAGAGTTTATTAAATGAGACAGAAAGGGTCGGTTGAGCAATGTTTCTGCCTTTGAGTGACTACCTGAGATAACAGAACAGGGCAGATGAGACTCTTTAGTCGAAATTACTACCTCACACCTCTTTAAGGGTAGGTGTGTTACCGAGGTGATTCAACCTGTATGACCAGTATGAATTCCTCCAGGCTGAGCGCGTGGGAATCTTAAAAGCAAATGCAAGTAGTGTTGCAAACAGTGTCCACCCATTGACTACCAGTGTTGAGTGGTTTGGCAGCCTGGAGAGACCAGTTCAGCTGGTGACCAGCTTCGCTTTACAGCTCTTATTGAAAAGAAGTGACTGACATGCAGAGAAAAAGGGCTCAAATACACAGAATATTTATATATTTGGCTGCATGGATTTCCACAGCACTTCATGCCTAGTTTGTGGGGGTGGAGGTTTAATATAACATGAGCCAGCTAATGCCTTAGAAAGCCTCTTCACTCCCATGGAGCAATTTACAGTGTGTTATTTCAAGGAATCATATGTCATTTATGTAATTCATTTTTATTCATTTTAGCCAAACCTGTTGTTGAACGGTTGGCGTTTTATGTCGCCCCCATGACCTTGTGACGTGTTTTTCTCTCCCACAGACAGAGAAGATCAGTCAATCCTCTGCACGTGAGTAGCCTACAGCAAGACATCAGTGTGTCTCTGTGTACATGCTTTGTCATTTGGGAGGAGCATTTTTCTAGTGTTTGCTGGAGTCCTTCTGCATTTGTATATTTAGTGTGCATTTGCTTTAACTAGTATGTATTGAGGCCTGCATGCACTCATGTGTTTATATTTGTAGCTAAATGTGGTGCAAATCAAAACACTCTGGTCCTTTTATATAGATCAGAAGAGGAAAATGTGATAATTTCAGATTTTATCTGGGATTTTATATTTTTTCCAAGAAAAAAACAAAAATCTCAGCTGAGTAAATTTGCATCTTAGTAATTCTTCCATGTAGCTACGTACACAGTTTCTATAATTGAGAGAAAAATAACACAGAAAATCAACTAAGACTTCAGTACCATATTGTGAATATAGCCAGCCTTCTGTCTGTGTGCACCCTACCTGCTTGCTTGCCTCTGATCCTACCATCCTGCTCTTCTTCCTGCCAGACTCTTCCTGTCATTGTCAAGGCTCCCAAATCAGGCTCATCTCGAGTCAGTCTCAAAGTGTGTGTGTGGAACAATTTGGCTGATTCTTTCAGATCTTTTACAGCTGCTATTTTTGTTCCTTTCTCCTCCATTATTCTTCAAAAGCAACAACACTAGCATAGCCTATATCCTTCACACCTGCCTTCTGTTTAGACCTGTGGTCTTTGAATGCACTGCATGGGTTCTAATGTTTATTATTGTGTCGAGTGTGCGTTTGGCCACTTGTTCATGTGGATTCTCTCTGTGTAAAAATTATATATATCAATTTATGATTGAGACCATATGTTGAAGACCGAACATTTAGGCCAACAGGGGAATTAGCTGTGTTCCTTACATAGTTTTGTGTTTGTGTTTCAGAGGAGAGTCCGGAGCTGGGAAAACGGAGAACACTAAGAAAGTCATCCAGTATCTGGCTCATGTTGCCTCCTCCCATAAAGGTGGCACTCTGGGTAGAAAAAAGGAAGCTGTGCAGGTATGTTACAGCAGAGGTGCAACAGAACAGAAGAAGAGCAGCTTGGAGAACACATCACATACAGAAAGGCTTTATAGAAACTTGGGAATAAAACAGGAGGGGAATGACAGGAAGGATAGAATAGGTGAAGAAATAACCAAGGATTGATGTGAGAAACCAATAACTGCAGTCTGCACTCTAAATACTGTACAGTTTAAATGAACCCAGTTACAACTATTTCAGGTTGACATTGCTGTTTACATATTAGGCAGTCTTCGACCACTAAATCACCAATCTAGGAAGAGTATTGCTTGTTTTAAGCGTGAAATGCTGCCCAGCTGGTGTATATGTAAAGAAAGACTGACACTACTGTTGATGTCTTACAATTAACTTTGGGTCTAAAAACAGGGGCTGTTAGTGTAGAAAGACTAAAAACAAAGTGGAAACAGCTTGAAAAGATTGTCTTACTTTCTGTGACTCGTGTACTGCAGTGTTTTAAGTGATTATTAAAGGGAGGCTGTGGAGCTTAATGTAAACACAACAGTTTAATTTACAGCTGAGTGTTACTCTCCAAAATGCATTGTGTGTCTAACAATCATGTCGAGTCAGCTTCCTTCCTTATAAAACCATATGTTAGCTCCTGCATTGTTGACATCCAACTTCATGAGCTAGCACTCTTCTTCTTCTTCTCCTTCTTCTTCTTCTTCTTCTCTTTTTTTTTCTTTCTTTATCTTCTTCTTCCCTGTTAATTGATATTATAAGACATACCAGGTTTTCTGTAGGTGCAGTTAAGTTTATTGTATCTTAGCTCGGAGTGGGCTTCTTCTTTGAATCATTCCGAGCATTATTTCTTACCTTCCTTCCTGCACTGGTTTTTCCTTCATTTTCTTCCGTGTGCACTGTCCTTCTCTCTTGCCTGCATGTTCAGATGGACGGCTCTAGGTCCTTAACAAGAGGCAGCACTATAGTGAACAGGGTGAGTTAACTCTGTCTTGCTGCCCTGTCCTTACTTTTGCTTTTCTCCTGCCCTGATTTCTGCATAATGAACTCCAACTAACTCAAAGCACAGTAACCTTAAACCATTGAACTGTCACTGCTGATATTGTTGCTCATTAACAGTGAAGCCCTAGACAGTATATTCGATTTAGACTGTTTCTGTTCTTTTGTTTGTTGTTATAATTGTTGTCTTATTTGTCTTATTTGTCTTTTTATTGTTTGTTTGTTTATCCAATCCACATGTTTGCCCATCCATCCAATCTCCTCCCCCTTAAAACTTCATTTTTTTCCACACACAATTCACCAGAGTATGCAATATGTGAGTATGAAATATTTAGAAAACTTGGGTTTTTATTTATGGGGAGTCCTTCTTTTAAAGTGAAACTCTTCCTGTAGAATATTTACAGGACCTGATATGATTGTCTTGCTTCATAGTGAGAATCATATCTTCCTTCTTTCTGACTTTCATCTGAATAACCCGTGGTCTTGTGGGTCTTTAGTTCTGGTAGTTAGTTCAGTCTCTACTGTTATACTCAGCGGGCAGGTGGTTGCAAAGTGTTTCTGCTGTAGATGTGGTTTTAATAACACAAACTGAACATGATGCAATTGAATGATGTGGGAGCGGGTGTGTTGTTGCAGCTGTTTGTGTGTACAGCGTTTGAAGTGTACATACTCAACTATATGGCTTTGTTAATGTGTGCAGTGCACACATTGTTTGCTCTGTGTTTTGTCGCTATCAAAGGGCTGGCCTCTTGCTCTCTCTGTTTGCGTCTGCCTTTTGTGTTGACTGACTGGCATTCTTTGATAGTTTTTGCCATAAAACCATCTCCTGTAACTACCTCCTTTGATGCTCATCGCTGGCTGCTGCTGCATCGTCAGCTGCTGCATCGGCAGTGCGACAACTGCAATAATGCATTGCAGCGAGCTTGAATCAGCCAATATGTAGCTTCACATCTCGCTGTGTAACAGTGCTTCTCAACCAAGTCGATAGTAGCCCTTTATTGATTTTAAAAATCAATAAAAAGGTTTCAAAAAGGAAGTTATTAAACATATGAAAAGCAAATGTGCAACATAATTGATCCCCTTATCACGGATTGCTAATGAGAGACAAGTATTTAAATTATGTTGAGAATCATTTGTTCTTGTGACGGGGAATGGGGAGTGTGTTGGATGCTATATTGGGCCCTAAAATGCATCAGTATGTGTCACTGCTCTTCAACACTGAGTCATGTATTTTTTTGTATTTTACATAACAGATTGTTAGTTCCTCTCAGCAGAGCAGTGTTAACGTGTGCATTTTAGTCCAGAGGCCCCCATAGAAGTCTTTCTGTGAAGCTGTCATGTCTGTAGTTTTGTCTGATCAGACGTCTCCTCTGTTTCACAGGGTGAGCTGGAGAGACAGCTGCTGCAGGCCAACCCTATACTGGAGGCCTTCGGCAACGCAAAGACTGTCAAGAACGATAACTCCTCTAGATTTGTAAGAGTGGACTAGATTCATTAATCGGATAGATAAAGTTCTGCCGTCAGTATACAAAGAAATGAACTGAAACATGAGCCACCTTTCCTGCTTTTTCAGGGTAAATTCATTCGTATCAATTTTGACGTGGCGGGATACATTGTTGGTGCCAACATTGAAACCTGTATCTTTCTGCTTACTTTGTGAAACTGCACTTCCTCCTGCCTTTACAGCAAAGGGTAGTGAGAAGGCAGACGGTCTTTCTGAATTTTCACTTGAATGCTTGCTTGTCCGTGTTCATTTGGAAAGGCATTTAAGGGTTTACCTGTGTACCGTACTAGAAACAACTTTAAAATGGTTGCACATATCCATAACTATATAAATTCAGACCTCCTTGAAAAGTCCCGGGCCACCCGTCAGGCCAAGGATGAGAGGACTTTCCACATCTTTTACCAGTTGTTATGTGGAGCGTCAGAGGAAACTCGAGGTGAATACAAGTGTCATTATAAAACATATATGCTATTTTTGCAAAACCGACTAGTAAACTGTGTCTAAAACTTGCTGTATTTTATGTCTCTAGCGGACTTGCTCTTAGGAACTGCTGATCAGTATCGCTTTCTCAGTGGAGGCTCGATACCTGTTCCTGGTCAGAGCGATTCAGAGAATTTCACCCAGACTATGGACTCCATGGCTATTATGGGCTTCACCCCTGAGGAGTCAATGTGTAAGAGAACAGAGGCAGGAAAAAAAATTGGGTATTTTGTGTCTTCAATCCTTGCCATGAATCACCTTCCTCCTCCTTGTCTTACTTCTCTGCAGCCATGCTGAAGGTGATCTCTGCTGTGCTCCAGTTCGGGAATATATCCTTTATGAAGGAGAAGAACCATGACCAGGCGTCCATGCCTGATAACACAGCTGCTCAGAAACTCTGCCATCTGCTGGGCATCAATGTGCTGGAGTTCACTCGGGCCATCCTCACCCCGAGGATCAAAGTAGGCCGAGAGTATGTGCAGAAAGCCCAGACTAAAGAACAAGTAAGATTTTATATGCAAAAAAGGCACACATGCTCATACATAAACAAACATTTGTCCCTGTGGAGTGTGACTATACATACATTTTCTCCTAGGCTGACTTTGCTGTGGAGGCCCTGGCAAAGGCAACATACGAGCGTCTGTTCAGATGGCTGGTCCACAGGATCAACAGAGCTCTGGATCGCAGACAGAGACAGGGAGCCTCCTTCATAGGCATCCTTGATATCGCTGGATTTGAGATCTTCCAGGTGTGTTCATGTGATGATGCAGTATAGTGAGAAGTTTAACCCAATCTAGCACAGAGGATGACTTTGTTCTCAAAATATAATAAATTGTCTGTAATTAAGTGAAACATGTAACATTAAGGGATATTTCTAGCATTATATTTGTATTTTTTGTGGAGAATAAAACAGCATTACAGATGTGCAGTGGTGTGAATTATATACAGTTTTATGTCTTTACAAATCCAACAATGTACCTGTACTTTTTCAGTGTACATAACATGTATTTTTCTATCTTTGCTTGCTTTTCTAAACCGATCCTATGCAGCTCAACTCCTTTGAGCAGCTGTGCATCAACTACACCAACGAAAAGCTGCAGCAGCTCTTCAACCACACCATGTTCATCCTGGAGCAGGAGGAGTACCAGCGAGAGGGCATCGAGTGGAACTTTATTGACTTTGGCCTGGACTTACAGCCTTGCATCGACCTCATCGAGAGACCAGTACATGCATACTAAAACACATTTTTACTTTTCATGAGATGAGACTAGATGCTGATAAATGATATGTGCTTTCCATACAGATGGGACAACAGATTGTTTATTTATAGTTAAATAAAGTGCAGATTGTGAACGAGCCCACTGATTAACTAATACAAGCAAACAGCATCAAATAATTCTGTAATATTTTGTCATTTTGAATGAGGAAATCCACATTTTGCTAATAATTTCCCCCCTGTTCATGTCAGGCCCACCCACCTGGTGTTCTGGCCCTTCTTGATGAAGAGTGCTGGTTCCCTCGGGCCACAGATCGCTCATTTGTGGAGAAGCTGTCTGCTGAGCAAGGCAGCCATCCAAAATTCTTCAAATCAAAGCAGCCACGTGGGGAAGCTGACTTCTCCATTATTCACTACGCTGGAAAGGTATCCCTTGACTTTTGTTTTTCTTTAATCTATCCTTTCAAATTTAGGTAACCCACGTTTTGACTTTCAGTGATGATCTGTCTCAGCTTTGATTTCTACCATGTGACCTCTTCTTCCACAGGTGGACTACAAGGCAAATGACTGGTTAGTGAAGAACATGGATCCCCTGAACGACAATGTGGCGTCTCTTCTCCACCAGTCGTCTGATCATTTTGTCTCAGAGCTTTGGAAAGAGGGTGAGACTTTCTGTTTCACACACTTTCTAAATGCTGCCTTTACAGATTTTGTAATGAAAACTTCAGCATTTTTTGCAACTGTGCCAGTTATAAATATTTAAGCTATTCTGGTGCAAAAATGTATTAACGTTACTACATTTCTCTCCTCTCTTACATGCTGTTTCTTTCTCGCTTTCTTCTGTTCTGTCTCCTTCTTGTCTTCTCCTCTTTTGCCTGCTCTTTTCCCCTTTTGGGCTCCTTCTTTCCTTTCCTATGATCTTGCTCCCTGTGGTCTCCTGATGCTTCCCGATCAGACATTCAAACTCTTCCTCGTGTGTACTTCTTTGACTCCTATGCCACACTGCAGACTAATGGCGCAGACAGTAGGTTTTTGTACCTCCTTACAATCCTCCCTCCGGCCACTGTTGTTTGCTGGCTGCCCAGTTTTTGGTGTCTTTATTGCTTTTTCTGCCATTTTCCCCTCTTTTTAGTTGATATTTTTGTGGTAGTGTTGTGTTGTATCATGTTGTCTCTGTGCTGTTGTGTTGCTCTCTAATTTCTCTTTCACCACGATTTTGGGCTTCAGTAAAAGTGCCGTGACTCTGTGGTGACACATTTCTTCACTGATAGTAATTCTCGTAGTGATTCTTGTTTGTAGAAGTTTCACTTCATTTGTCACAAAAGCCACGTTCAGGATCACCTTAGAGTGTCTGCCTGTAACTAGAAGAGCTCTATTAAATTCAGTTCAATAATTTAAAATGAGTAATTGGTTGGCCCGGACACATTTACAGTCATGTTAATTAACATGCATGGTCTCTAAACAAAAAAAAAATGAAAGCGTACTTGCTTGCAGAAATGTGATCCTGAATCAGCTTTAGAGACGCAACATTTTGCTTTAGAGTATTGACATGTAAATAGCGTTGCATGGTTTAACCAGTGTAGACCTTTAGCTTTAGCTTTAGTCATCAAAGAGTGATCAGTGTGTTTTTTTAGTTTAGATCACATTTGATGAACTGGAGCATATTGATCTGAGTGGTGATACTGGCCTCTCTGTTCTCTCTACTTTTTACTCCTGTGTATGAAATTAGCTTCATACACTTAACAAAATAAACCATCAGTCTTTTTAGGCAGATCTGCAGCTTTGCCTGTGCAGACATGTCCAAAGTTGACAGGTTGAGCTTGAAAAACATTACCTGTGAAACTCATGCACTGTATTAAGTGTGTGTGTGTGTGTGTGTGTGTGTGTGTGTGTGTGTGTGTGTGTGTGTGTGTGTGTGTGTGTGCTGGCTGTGGAAATAGATGCTATGGTTCTAGTTTTAAAAACTAATGATGGCCGAAATCCATCTCATATATTATTTCTGTCCAGAGCTTGACAGGAGATATGAAACCAGGTGTTGTTGCTATTGTGTAATAGCATTAACCTGTTCACTCACTCATGAAATGCCAAATCATGCTTTTTTATTTATTTATTTATTTATTTTTGACTTCAGCTAATTGATCATTTCTGCTAAAAGTGAGACCCTGTGCTCTGTTTCCTTCTAGTGGACAGGATTGTGGGTCTGGACCAGGTGTCGTCAGGAGAGAGCAGCGCGCCGGTCACATTCGGAGCAGCAGGACTGAAGACGAAGAAAGGAATGTTTAGGACTGTTGGGCAGCTTTACAAGGAGTCTCTTACCAAGCTGATGGCCACACTGAGGAACACCAACCCTAACTTTCTCCGCTGCATTATCCCCAACCATGAGAAGAGGGTGAGGCAGGCGGTCAGGATGAACTAGTGAGAAGAGATAATAGCCTTCTTTCTGCTGACTCTTTACCCATTTACTTTTCTTCAGGCCGGTAAGCTTTCCCCTCACCTGGTTTTAGACCAGCTGAGATGTAATGGTGTTTTGGAGGGCATCCGTATATGCAGACAAGGATTCCCTAACCGCATCCCGTTCCAAGAGTTCAGACAGAGGTGCGTATTTGTGATGGTCTTTTTGATTTGTGAAGTGTAAACTACATGCACACACTTCATGCCACTTTAAGAATCTTTTATGGCACCTGCCAGTAGACCTTTCTGCTCATCGTATCATTTACTCAATTGCACATTTATCATTTGTCTTCCAGATATGAGATCCTAACCCCTAATGCCATTCCTCGCACCTTCATGGATGGCAAACAGGCATCAGAACTCATGGTATGTAACTTTCAAGCAGCTAAAACTTCACAGCATTACATACAGTTGTTCAGATAGAAGCTTGACCAACTCCCCTGCTGCTCTTCTAGATCAGTGCTTTAGAGCTGGATAAAAACCTGTTCAGGGTGGGTCAGAGTAAAGTCTTCTTCAGAGCTGGAGTCCTAGCTCACCTGGAAGAAGAAAGAGACCTAAAGATAACTGATACCATCATACGCTTCCAGAGCGCTGCCAGAGGCTTTCTCTCACGCAAGTAAGACTAATTACTAATAGAGAACTATTATAGGCATCTCATTAGTTTTTAATGTCTTTTATATATAAATTCAATATAAAATATAAATGGAAGAATAAGATGAAATTCATGTTACTTTAGTTATTGGTCAGTTTAACAGTCTTTTTTGCTACCTGAGGTAAAAGAGATGGAGGACGATAAACATGTAGTACGGGTGAGGTTTCTCTGCAGCGCTAGTATCTGTGCAGTTGGCAGTTTTGTATTTCACTCTTAAAGGAGCATTAATATTTAACAATTTGTCAGCCCCTATCAGTGACTCAGGTGTTGCAACAGTTTTGAAAGGTATTTGGCAAAGCCTGAATTACATAATTCATTATGGTTATATGTTTACACTGGTGACTAAATGGAAAAAAAGTCTATTCATTGTTATACGTCATTTGATTAATCTGGTGTCAGGTACATTTCTGTCATACATTTAAGATACAAAATAAGTTTCAGTTGTTTTACATAATCTATTGTTTAAAGATTTATTAAAGAATAACAAGACTTAATTTTTAGTCTAAAAGTTTCCATGTCCCGAAAAAGTCTCCCCAATAATGACGTTTATTAATAAACTTCACTATGTTAGTGATATCCTAAAACAGCAAAGTAAATATGTGGAAGGTGTGGTGGAGAACAGGGGAAAACATAGTTATATGGACCAAAACTCATTACCAATAATTGAAAGTTGTTTGTTAACCCTGTCAAACACCTGCTCATATTACTCAATATTGCAGCATCTTTCAGTCCCTTTTCAGGTGAATACAGTACGTGTTAATACCTCTACTGTGATTCTAGAGGTACACTGTGCAATATTAAATAAAAATGTGAATCTCATTGATGCATTTTGTTTGTTTTATTGCTTTCAGAGCCTTTTTGAAGAAGCAACAGCAGCTTAGTGCTCTGAGGGTGATGCAGAGGAACTGTGCTGCTTACCTCAAACTCAGGAACTGGCAGTGGTGGCGACTATTTACTAAGGTGCTGTGCAAACTTCTCAACATAGACATGAAATGCAACCCACATTAAACATAATATACAACTAAAGGCAAGGCAGTGTGAGAGTAGAAAACCTTGTAACGTTGGGAATATTCTTCATATTGACCCCTTTCACCTCACCCAAACAGGTGAAACCCTTGCTGCAGGTGACACGACAGGATGAAGAGATCCAAACCCGGGAAGCAGCGCTACAAAAAGCCAAAGAACAACTAACCCGAGCGGAGCAGGACTACACAGAGCTGGACAGGAAGCACGTTCAGGTAAACAAACCTCATCCTCATTTTGCTTCCTATCCACCACAGTTCTGTCTTTGCCTGTCTTACTGTCAGTCGGGGCCTCACTCATCACCACTCCTCCGTTTCTGTCACATTGTAGCTGATAGAGGAAAAGGCAGTGCTGGCTGACCAGCTGCAGGCAGAGGCAGAGCTGTTTGCAGAGGCGGAGGAGATGAGGGCCAGGTTAGCCAGTCGGAAACAGGAGCTGGAGGAGGTTCTGGGCGAGCTGGAGACTCGACTGGAGGAAGAGGAGGAGAGGGGTGTGCAACTCGCCAATGAGAAGAAGAAAATGCAGCAGAATATACAGGTTATAAAGTTGCTGTCTTTTTATGTCAAAACTTTGTAAGAAAGATTGTAAATTGACATTAAAACAAGCTTGCCTTGACATTGCTTTCTCTGGTTTTGTCAGGACCTAGAGGAGCAGTTAGAGGAGGAGGAAAGCGGCAGACAACGCCTCCTGCTGGAGAAGGTTACCCTGGAGACCAAAGTAAAGAGTCTGGAGACAGACCTGGTCACTGCAGTAGAGCAAAGAGACCGACTCGGCAAGGTGAGCGTCACATTAAATTTTGTCAAGCAATGAAAAAAATTGTTTCTCTTTTCTTTTTAAAAAGGTTGTTTCACAACCTTAATAGCAAACCCAAGCATTACAGCAATACAATTACAGTTGCACACTTACATTTTTCTTCATTATGTTGGCTTCATTTTCTAAATAAATTGAAGAAAGAAGAAATAATAACTTGAAGAAAATAAAACACGATGAGACTAGGATTGCAATGAGGTAAAATAGGTCAGGAAGGGTTGCTACTTGAAAGCAATTATTCCTGCACAGTTACTAATAAAAAAAATGTTTCACGCATCATCGTTTCTCTCTGAGCAGGAAAAGAAACAGCTGGAGGAGCGTCTGAATGAGGTCACCGACCAGCTCACCGAAGAAGAGGAAAAGACAAAAAGTTTGAACAAGCTCAAGAACAAACAGGAAGCTGTCATCGCTGACTTGGAGGGTAACTATGCTAAACGAATTTTGGCCTTCACACAAATTTGTTTCCACACAAGTAATCACACTAAGGTTGACATTTATGTATTCAAGAAGCAGGTGTCCCAGCAGGAATGGATGCTGTAGTCCGTCACATGCCCATAGATAGATAGATAGATAGATAGATAGATAGATAGATAGACAGACAGACAGACAGATAGACAGACAGACAGACAGAGATCATATGTCGCTGCATGAAGTTTTAAAATCAAGAGCTCCATTTGTACTTAGATCGAAAACAACATGCGGAAGACTTATTTGAAAGTATATATGTCCAGAGCTTTTACACCTGCAAGAATCTTTCTGGCGGGTAAAAAAAATTCCTTCAATGTGCTGTTTGATCTCAAAGATTTGACGAATTAGTCCACTCGTCTGTCAAGAGCTGCAGTTACACGTGTCAGGTCTGCTGAAGGTGCAGCCTGCTTCCCAGTTACAGCAATGCAACACCGTCCCAGATGGTAGTGCGGAGGGGTTTTTGTATTTATTAGTGCTGTACAGTGTAACTGATGTGCAACAATCAGAAAGCAACGATTTATTTCTGTCACTCACTGGTTTGTTTTGACAAACATACCTTCCTCTGTTCAGTCACCTTATAGATGCACTATCCTTTTCTCTCTTAAGCCCAAATTCAGCTACTTGACAGTAAAATAACTAATTCTAATGGTGGTCCCTGCATTGGAAAGCCACTGAGCCCCTTTAAAGTTTACTGTAAAAAAGCTTCTGCTGTAGAAATGTGGCTATTAAAAGTGTTTTAAATCACAGTCTGAAGTTTAACTATCTAATCCAGAATTCTATAAAAAATATCTGAACATTTAGCAAAATAGTCAAAACTCTGATTTTTGTGCAACCTTACTGAATGGAGGAGTCTATGTTTTTTGCAGTGTCAGGGTTTCTGCAGTCAAAGCAAGGAGCATGACTCAAACTTAGGGTGAACAAGGCAGCCAGGAACTGTTTTAAGGTAGTTTACTGTTGGAGAGCAGATATGAGTACAGGTGCTAATGAAGAAAGTGGAAACAAGTTGAGGTAGGTGTGGCATGACAGGAGTTTAGTGACATCTGGTGGGTGGATGGGGAAATGCAGGCTTATTTACAACTGTAATAACTTTACTGTTTAAATTCTGTGATTTGTAACTTACTCCATTGCTATTTGCAGAGCGCCTAAAGCGTGAAGAGCAGGGTCGCTTAGAACAGGAGAAGTTTAAGAGGAGGATGGAGAGTGAAGCTATGGAGGCCCAGGAGCAGCTGTCAGACCTGGGAATGCTGTCCTCTGAGCTGAGAGGCAGTCTGGCTCAAAAGGAAAAAGAAATCACCTCCCTGCAGGGCCGGTGAGACACAGAAAAGTATCAGAGACGCAGTAACTAAAATATAAGCCTGTAATGGATTTTTGAAGTTTTTTTGTGAATCTCTCAGGTTGGAGGAAGAAGGTGCACGCCGTGCTGAAGCTCAGAGGTCTCTAAGGGAGGCCTTGTCCCAAGTGTCAGAGCTGAAGGAGGAAGTAGAGAATGAACGAGGGATGCGGGAAAGAGCAGAGAAACAACGGCGAGACCTGAGTGAGGAGCTGGAGGCTTTGAGAACTGAGCTAGAGGACACTCTGGACAGCACAGCTGCACAACAGGAGCTCAGGTAGATGATGAGGACAAAACAAAGTTTACATTTAGTGTTTTTGTTATCAGACCAGAACTCACGCTTCTTACAACTCCACAGGTCTCGACGGGAAGCAGAGTTAAGTGAGCTCCAACGATGTGTTGAAGAGGAGACTCGCCGGCACGAGACCCAGCTTTCAGAAGTCAGAGTCAAACACAGCGCTGCCTTAGACAGCCTGCAGGAGCAGCTGGACAACAGCAAGAGAGTACGAGAAACACAGAAAAATTCAAATGCACATGCATGGAGACATGCGCAGTCTCTCATTGTGTCTCACCCATGCTCTGCTTCAGGCACGACAGTCCCTTGATAAAGCCAAGGCAACGCTGGAGGAGGAGAGGCAGAATTTGACCTCTGAGCTCAAAAGCCTCCAAGCAAGTCGCTCAGAGAGCGAGAGGGGTCGTAAGAGGGCGGATAACCAGCTACAGGAACTGAGCGCCCGTCTGACTCAGGCTGACAGAGAGAGGGAGGACAGGGAGGAGCGAATCCACAAGCTGCAGGTACAAATGAATAGGTACCAGTTTACTGGTTTGTGGTTTTAAGGTGTGTCAGTAAAGAAGTATTCTGTTTCTGTTCTGTTGAATGAATTTAACCTAAATGTGTCTCTTTTAGTGTGAGATTGAGTCCCTCTCCGGCAATCTGTCCTCCTCTGACTCCAAGTCTCTTCGGCTCGCTAAAGAAATGAGCAGCCTGGAGAGCCAGCTGCATGATGCAAGGGTAACAAATGCACACAGACACCAAGGCTGAATTGATTTGGACATTAGCCTTTGACTGTTACAGACTCCTCATGTTTAAAAGAGAAAAAGTAACTATTTCTTTAAAGTCCAGAAGAAAATCCTCTGACTGTAGGAAATGAAAAGAATTTGATCCACTGATGACTCAAAAACAACCTCATATGCACCATTGCTCTTCTCTTTTAGGAACTGCTACAGGACGAAAGTCGCCAGAAGATGGCCCTTGCCTCAAGGGTGCGAGCACTGGAGGAGGAGAAGAATGGACTGATGGAACGACTGGAGGAGGAGGAGGAAAGAGGCAAAGAGCTGAGCCGACAGATCCAAACTCACAGCCAGCAGGTAAGTCTGAGGGCCGCAGTGACTTTATTTACCTCTTAAGCTGCTGCTTTAGAAAGATATCAGTTAACATTTTTCATAAAATCACAGAAGGGCTTTCCTTCAGACAGTCAGTATTAAATGTAAAGTTATCTGTCTATATCTATAACTTATGTATGCACCCTGTGTCTGTTTTACTTCTACAGCTGACAGAGCTACGTAAGCAGTCAGAGGAGGTGAACAGTGCCGTGGAAGCTGGCGATGAGATACGCAGGAAGCTCCAGAGAGAGCTGGACAGTGCCATTCAAAGAGAGCGACAGAAGGAGGAGGAGAAAGAAAGAGTGGAGAGGCAGAGGGAGCGACTGAGGGAGGAAATAGAGGACATGACCATTGCCCTGCAGAGAGAGAGGCAGAACTGCACGGCCCTCGAAAAAAGGCAAAAGAAATTTGACCAGGTTAGAAACATACCACTGCTTCTCACATACGCACAAAGGCTGCAAATGTCTTTATGCGCAGTAACATTACCTCCTTGACCCCCCAGTGCCTGGCAGAGGAGAAGGCGGTGAGTGCTCGGCTTGCAGAAGAGAGGGACAGAGCAGAAGCAGACAGCAGAGAGAAGGAAACAAGATGTCTAGCACTGTCCCGAGCCCTGCAGGTAAATTATTTGATAGACGGCACATAAATGTTTTTCATACATCTGTGTTTGTGATGGTAAATCGTCTGTCTTTCTGTGCGTAGGAGGCTCAGGACCAAAAAGAAGAGCTAGAGAGAGCCAACAAGCAGCTCCGTCTGGAAATGGAGCAGCTGGTGAACCAGCAGGACGATGTGGGCAAAAATGTAAGACTCTACACCTTGGGACTCTTTTTTTATTATTTCTGTCTCAGTCCTCTGTGAGTCACCATTTCTTAAATGCTTGTGCGTCAGGTCCATGAGCTGGAGCGCACACGGAGGACCTTGGAAACTGAAGCCCAGAACCTGCGCATTCAGACGCAGGAGCTGGAGGAGGAGCTGTCAGAGGCAGAGAACTCAAGACTGAGGCTGGAGGTCACCCTGCAGGCGCTTAAGGCTCAGTTTGAAAGGGAGATCAGCACCAACGAGGAAAAGGGAGAGGAGAAGAGAAGGGCCCTGAGCAAACAGGTAGGATGGAGAATGAAAAAGGAAAGTGCTGGTACTTTTTGTCCAAGTTAATCAGATTGTTTATGTTCTTCTTTCGATCCCAGGTGAGGGAGTTAGAGATCCAGCTGGAGGAGGAGAGGAGTCAGCGGTCTCAGTCTGTGTCATCCAAGAAGCAGCTGGAAGCAGAACTGCAGGAAGCTGAGGCCCAGGTGGAGACAGCCAACCGTGGCAAAGAGGAGGCGATGAAGCAGCTTCGAAGGCTGCAGGTAAAACAGGGTACCCACACCTATTTAAAAAATCTGTTTCCTGTAAATGTCAGTGTAATTAATTTAAAAATATCCTTATCAGGGTCAAATGAAGGAGGTTCTGCGTGAGCTAGATGAGGCAAAGGTGACTCGAGATGACGTCATCTCCCAATCAAAAGACAGTGAAAAGAAAATCCAAACACTGGAAGCAGAGGTCCTGCATCTTACAGAGGTATGTATGTCTATGTGTGTGCAAAAAAAGATATCTTGCATTTATTTTTAACCAAACTTTTCTGTCTGCATGAACGTCTTTGTGCAGGAGCTGGCTGTATCAGAGAGGCAGAAGCGACAGGCCCAGCAGGAGAGAGACGAGATAGCAGACGAGATGGTCAGCAGCAGTTCTGGAAAGTGAGTTTAACTTTACCTCTGATGCCTTTTGTTGATTTGAGGGGTTTTTGTGCACCTGTAGTGTTGTTACTGAGATTGCGTTTGTCCAGGAATGTGCTGAGCGAAGAGAAGCGGAGGTTGGACGCACGAGTCAATCAGCTGGAAGAAGAGCTGGAAGAAGAGCAGACTAACAATGAACTGTTGACAGAAAGACTACGGAAGACAGCCCTACAGGTATGTTCACTCTACAAGTGTCTCGGTCACACACTTTGAAGCACACACTCATCACAGCTACATTTCCACTGCAGGTGGAGACTCTGACTGTGCAGCTGCAGGGAGAGAGGACTCTGGCCCAGAAAGCAGAGGCGGCTCGAGAGCAGCTGGAGAAGCAGAACAAGGAGCTGAAGGCCCGGCTGGGGGAGATGGAGGGGGCAGTAAGGGGCAAACATAGGATGAGTGTCGCCGCCCTGGAGGCAAAAATTGAGACGATGGAGGAGCAGGTGGAACAAGAGAGACAGTACGAGAAACAGACACATGCATCAGTACAAAAATCTTCCAAAGCTGTAACCTGCTAAAAAGAATTCAGGATTAGATTGTTTTATAACACAAACTGTACATAAAAATAGACAAGGACTCTTTGGAATCACCCATTGGTTTGCAGCTACCATTTGAAGTCCACAATTTAGTATTTTGTCCTTTACTATTTTTTACATTTTTGTTTGGATTAGAGGTAGTTGTCAGCTAATGCTAGCCCCCACTAGCTAACAAGGAGCGTCCATAATTTATATTTAACTGGATTCTAACTTTGGTTGGTGAAAATCTACTTACAAGAAAACAGACTTACTGGAGACACTGAACAGTCATCTCTTTATAGGCTCTTTTAGAAAAACCAAATGCTGAAAGAAGCTTTGTATTAAATCATGAATAGGTTCAGGCCTTAGTTTAATTTTTCAGTGGTGTAGGCCGCTTCTTGTTTCATACATAAAACTAAGGGTTTCTTTATCAGTTTAAAGTAAATTTGTTAGTTACTTCAAATATTAATAATAATAATGTACACTTTATTGATCCCCATGGGGAAATTACTCTCTCTGCATTTGACCCATTCACTCAGTGAAGCAGTGGGCAGCCACTAAGCAGGCGCACCAGGGAGCAGTGTGCTGCTCCTTTGCTCAGGGGTAGCCGTTCAGTGGATTTGAATCCCCCGACCTTCCAATCACGCGACCACTCTACCTACTGAGCTATGCCTGCCCCAATTGGGCCCTTTATAAATTTGTTAATTAGAACAGAGCTTGAAAACCTACCTATACAGTCACTGGACACCTTGCTAGTATCAGGTCTCAGCCTTAATTTCATTCAGATTGGCCTTACTTCTTCATGGCAAAGATTCAACAAGGTGCTGGAAACATTCCTCAGAGATTTTGCTCCATGTTGACATGACAGCATCACACAGTTGCTGCAGATTTGTCGACTACACATCCATGATGTGAATTCCCCTTTCTACGAAATCCAAAAGCTGGTCTGCTGGACTGGGATCTGGTGACTGAGGAGGCCATTTGAGATTAATGATCTCAAAAAACCTGTTTGAGATTACTTGATTTGAGATTACAAATTATGAATGTGAATGTGAAAGTATCCAGTTGTCCTGCTGGAAGCAGGCATCAAGAGATTGATACACTTAAATCACCTTTCTTCCCCATTCTAAATTTCAGTTTGGTCTTTAGCAGTTGCTGCCATGTGATTGGCTGAGTAGGTGTATGTGTAAAGGAGCAGTTCAACAATTGTACCTAATAAAGTGGCCTATGATAATTGGTTACATTTACAACATTTATTAACAAAACGACACATGTGAACTGTGCCATGATTGTAAATACATGGCATGGGGCGTATGAGGGTTTTCAGTGTTATAGGCCAAGCAATTACTGCCAGACAGATTTAGAATCACTAAACATCCGAGGGGGAAAAAAGTCATCATTGATTGTAACAACCCTGTTTGTCCCTCAGGGAGCGAGCAATTGCCAACAAACTGATGCGGAAGACGGAAAAGAAACTGAAGGAGGTGATGATGCAGGCAGAAGATGAGAGGAGGCATGCGGACCAGTACAGAGAGCAGGTGAGAAAATTAAGATTACCCTGACTGCACCGTGCAGGTCAGTCACATTTATCTAAGTATGCTCAGAATAGCATTGTCAACAACAGGGCATTAAATAATCATTTAATGGGTATCAGGTCAGCTAAGCTTGCTGCTTTAATTGTGTCCGAGGGCAGTGTGTTGAAAAATCATCCTAAAATGAGTGATTTATCCGGCTCAGTCCAGACTAATCCTAATCCTGCATTGGCATCTGTGTGTTCATCGTGAAGTTAGAACATGTTCCACCACAAAATATAAATCCCTCAGTCACAGCAGAGACACTGACTCTCCTCCCAAAGCATCATCTGCAATAATCTGCCAGGTTTAATCTGACTCCTGATCCCCATCGGTCCTCCTGTCCTCACACTAATCTCTCCATTTAAATATCTGTCTGTGCTCCTTCTTCTTGGTCTCCCTTTTCCTGCAATCTCTTGTCAACTCGACCTCTCTGCTGCGCTCTGTCCTTTCTCTCCTCTTCCTCCTCCCTACTCTTCTCCTGCAGCTGGATAAGTCGATGGTCCGACTGAAGCAGCTGAAGAGGCAGCTGGAGGAGGTGGAGGAGGAGAACTCTCGCTCCAGTGCCCAGAAGAGGAAGCTGCAGAGGGAGCTGGAGGAACTCACTGACAGCAGCCAGACCATGAACCGCGAGATATCCTCCCTCCGCAACCAGCTCAGGTAAGTGTGTGTGTGTGAGTGTGTTGGTTCATGTATTTATCTGTGGCTTCACTTACTGTTGATTTTGTTAACACCCCATTAACTTCTCATCGTTTTTTTTTTTTTTGCTTTGCTCTTTTGTTGCGTCCATTTTTGTCCATGTAACACTGACACATTACCCATCTGTCTGCGACACTCAGCTTCCCCGAATGGAGACCAGATATGTAGGTCATTGTTTTTTTTATTATTATTATTTCTTGTTCTCATTTGTTTGTCTGTTGTTTTGTGTGTTTGTCTTTGTGTTTGTGTATGAAAAGCCTGCAGCTTTCCATACACAAACACAAAGTTGAGTAGTTTGCTTATATTTTTGTCTCTAGCATATTTACACAGTTCTCTGTTTGGGGGGAAAAAATAGCTTTCTTGGTGAAATTTGGATGGAAAGTTTGAATATTCTTAGTCATTTTTTAAAAAGAGGGGAAACAGTTAACCTGAAAATGTTAAACGTTAACTCTGAGCCCTGTTTTCTGGAATTTCATAAACTAAACAGTTAAGTAACTGAATAATAATAAAAACACATTTTTAAACTCCCGCTTCCTTTTTGTCCAGACGTGCTGCGCTGCCTCTGTCGATGCGTGGACGCAGAGCATTGGTTGATGACCTTTCATTAGAGAACTCCGATTCAGAAGAGCCTCCTGCCTCACCCACCCCCTCCTCTGGGGTCCCAGGGACCCCGACTCCATCCTCAGAACACAGCCTGGACCCTCCGCCGCCCTACAGTGTCAACAACGCAGAGTGACACGCACACATCTGCTTAGCTACACAAACAGCGCACACACACACAAGCATCAGCCTCAGAGCCTCGACTGCTCGCGGTGATACAGAGGCAGGCACACAGCACATAGCTACACTAGTTTTAAATTAAATGCCATGTATGATAAATATCAGGCAGTTAGTTGTAAAGCATCCTCCCTGATATAGCGATGCTCTTTAAGATTTTGCCTCATTTTTTTCTCAACAAGTACAGAAAATGTGTTTTAAAAAAAAAGAAATTTTACAAAGCGTTAACTGGAATTGATTTTATTTTATAAAACAACAAAGACTTGAAGTTTCTACATTACCACCTCTGTAATGCACTTCTCATAAACTAAACTACATCTGCTCACTAAGCAGTAAAGAACTTTTACATTTGGATTTATTTACAAACATTTGATGTGGATTGAATACACAGATCAGGGCTGCTGGAAGATGACAATCTGTATTCATGTTACACGAGCAGTCAAGTACACACATGGAGCAGAGAATTCGCCTTCGATATGAGTGTGAGTTAACTTTTTAAACTTGGAAGAATTTGGCAAAAAGAAAGAAAATTGTCATCTAAACACAGTGCTGCACATTTTCTAAGTTGGCCTAACAGATAATAATAAGAAACCGGGATGCATTACATCGTTTTCATATCACCTGTCACAATTACAGTGACACAAAGAGCTGAAAGCAGCCGACATGCAGACAGACTCGCTGCTTTAGACGATAAACTCTTTTCTATAGATTAGAAACAGTACGTTGTTAGACCACGCAGTAGATAGTATTAGATAGTTTCTTTAACTTAAAGTCTTAACATATTGCATCAGAAATTTTGAATTTGTATAATTTATATCAAATACCAACTTAAGTTATTGATCACTGCTTGTTTTCTGACTTGTGTGTGTGTGTGTGTGGGGGGG